TATATATACATGGATATTTTTATTTTTATGGACTTGGTTAGCTGGTCTCTCAATAAAATTTTTGGATCAAAGTCTATTTTTCTGCTTCCATGGGAGGACATGTCAAAGGTGGGACCTCTGTTCTTCTCTGTTCTGGATTTACGTTTGGACTCTGATCACTGGATCCTACAATTTGGCTTGGTGGTCTCCTGGTGGTCTGCAAAACAACATCAGTGGCTTTGCGCTTTCTGGCTGATTGACCAATTTGATGGACGGCTGTATTCTATCAGCACTCAGACATTTTGCCTTGAACGAGCTGGACTCGGTCTGCAAGCGGTTCTACGGAGGGCCATGGGCCGGCTGTGGTCCCTGGACTTTTCTGGCCAGATGGAATTCATCTTGGAGGAAGCTGATGGATCGGCTCGGCGGTATGTGTCCACACCGTTTTGTCTGATTGGATTCGCCACCTTGAGAGTTCCAGCAGACATTAAGGCAGAGGGAAAATTGTTGTTGCCTGCCTGTCCTTTCTGTTCCCAAAACAACTGATTACAGAATCTGGATCTTCCCGGCAACGGCCTTGGATCTGTTGAATAAATCCTTCCTGGCTGGACATGTCGACAAGGCTCTGCCCCCCGCCTTCCTCCTCCTCCCTCACCCATATGATCTGACTCCTGAGAAAGCTTAGGTCCCACAGAATGAACAATTTACCATCAATATTCTGAACTATGGCTGCGCTGGTTTTGGGGACTGGATTCTTCAGGCCCCCGTAAACTCACTTACTCCTCTGGCTAATACATCTGCCCTATGCAGAGGTTTTTTCATAAACACCATAGTGTGTCACAGTGTTGATATAATATGATGTTTTTGTTTTTTTCCCTCATTTTCCCTTGTGTGGTTTTTAGTTTTTCTGTTTGTCTAAAGGTAGCACCACTGGGTTTGCTGCATGACCTGTCTTAACTGCTCCTTCCCCCTTTCCCTGATTGTGCAGCACCTTGTGAATTTAGTCGTGAAAGGCGCTATATAAATAAAACTTCACTTATTTACTTAATATATACTATCTATCTATCTATCTATCTATCTATCTATCTATCTATCTATCTATCTATCTATCTATCTATCTATCTATCTATCTAT